TGATATTAGAAAAAATTTTCTAGATTGAGATCCAGAGAAAAGTTTTACACGAATACAAAGAGCACTTCATGTTTGTCTTGGAGTTTTTTCCAATACAAGGTCTCAATTTTTAATATGTGTTATTTAAGTGAAGCTTCTTTTTGGTGGCAAAACACTGGCTTCATTCCTGTTGAATGAAAACAGTAATGTGGCTTCAGTTACTGCTTTGTTATCATCTTCAATCTGAGCTACAGCAATGTAATATACCTTGCCACTTGTCCTACTGGAGTACATCATGTCCTGCTCCTGTTTTCTGTGCAGTCTTCCCCTAAATTCCAGTCTAATTTAAAATCCTGGTATTTTTAGTCAGACATAGGATGGTCTGGGAAGAAGGCATACATGCACTAGCTTGGTCCTGATAGCTTAAAATTTCAATTGTGACTTATAAATCTCTTTAAAAGGCCTGAGGGAGCTGTCCAGGTCTTTAACCAAGTTTTTCTTCCTTTCTGTCACCTGAGAATCTCTTTGAACCTCATGTAAGAAGATTCCTAAAAAGCTGTTGTGCGCTTTACACAAGGAAACTTCTTGGAACATGTCATCAATAACTAACAAGCACACATAGGTTTTAAATAATGAAAACAATTTTTCCCACTGAAGAGAAATGGCAAAATAGAGAACTCTACAGATACCAATCTTACTGTTTAATGCACTTCAGAAATGCATTCAAACAATACACCATGGAGGCAGAACAGAAAACCTGAAGAGCGGCAGAAAGGATGACTGGATCACAAATCATTTTGCACAGTGATTTTACAGTGGTCTTTACATGTTAGTTAATCACTATTACTAGGGAAAGTATATAAAAGAACTAGAAACATTTGAGAAATTTTGTCATTTAAAAATCACTGAGAGCACGAAACAATTTGACTGTGATATTGTCCATTATGATGTGCATAGAGGATGCAAAGATGCTGTGTCTAATGTCTATCTACAGATTTACCAGATCAGCATATAAGGATTAGAAATGGACACAGATATTTAAAAAAAATTTTCAGAATCAACTCCTTAATAATGTCTGGAAGTACTTACCAGAACAGAAAGATATAAGAAACATGGGAAGTCCCACCAATTGTGCTTTGTTCAGTTTATTTCACAGGATATTTGCATCTTATTAGCAAAGCATACCCAAAACATGACAAAAATCAATTTTCTACAACTTTTAGGATCGCAAAACCTATTGCTGCAAATTTGTTTTCATCAATGGCAATGGCTAGGAGAGCCCCAGTATCTCAGTCTTGGCTATCTACTATATTGCAATTCAATTTAAAACAGTCGTCTCTCTAGCATGTTCCTGGCCACCCACAGAAATCACTTACTGTGTCAGCTGTTTAAGCAGCCAGAAAGAAAAGTCCCTCAGATTTTGGATAGTAAGATACAGGAGTTAAATGATTTATTTGCCAATTTATGAGAAATGAACAGAAATGCCTCACAGCATAAAGAAATTAAGAGATATATTCCTACTGTAAAAACTTACTGATGAACATAAAGTGAGAGCTGTCCACACTGTACTGAAAAACACTTGCTCAAATGGCAAGAGAGCAATGAGTTCTTACAGCAATAATTCTTAATAGCATACTATCCATTAACTCTGATCATCACAAAGTAATACCTTGTTATTTGATTTGAACATAGAGTGTTGGTTGATTAGACCTACATATACTGAGGCTTACAAAAAGATAACAACGGCATGCTCAGAAATCAAAGCCCATTTGCTAGGTACACATTCCACATATTCTCAAAGTTATAAGGAAATCTAAGAGTGGTATGGTTTCTAATTTCTGTGTTTAGCTACCTATGATTGCATTGGAATGGAGATTACTAGAAGCAAACAGAGTTAAAGAAGTGAAGTTTTCACATATTTTTGAAGGAAGTAGTCTATATTAACTTTTAGTCTATATAGAAGAAAGTTCATCTTGCTGATGGACTGTCTAATACTTTAATTATCTTAAAATATGGTTATTTTTGAAGAACATGCTGATGGGGGAAAAGATAATCTAAGCTGAAGTTTTGAAGAGTGTCAGGATAGAAATCTACAGGCAATGGAGCTCCACAGCAAGAAAACGAAATTATAATATTGCCCAGTACAAAGAAGGTTTTCACTCCTCTGCTGTTGGAAATGAGTTTAATGTTTTAAGTGTCACCTCAAGATAGGCACAGAATGCAGTAATAAGAATGTATGTAAAAAAAATACACGCATTTTCATTGTCAGGTGGACAATTATAGTCAAACCTGGGACAGGCCTTCCTGGCAACATTACAACAGGAGAAAATGCTCACACAACATTAGCAAACTATGAACTGAATGAACTGATGATTCCACAGAGATTATAACGACAGCATTTAATAAACAAGCATAAGTGAATAGAGAATTGTTAAATCAATGAAGAAGTAAATGTATAGGGAAAGACAATAAAGACACTGAAAACAAGACCCAGATGTCACACAGAAAATATTGCATCAAAGTCTATTAAAAGTATTTCCTTTTTCAAAATGTCATTTATTATTCAGTTAAAAAAATCTTTTTTAAAACCTGGGAAACTACAGTATGCTGTCTCTACCAAAACAATCACAGCCTTAATTAGATACAAAAATCTTCTATCTACTGGAAAAAAATAATTCAAATACAGGGAATAAAATTTAATCAATAAAAAGAAAAAAGTTACTTAATACATATGCTAACAAATAAACCTCCCTATCCTTTACAAGCACTAACACCAAAAGAGGGAGGAACTAAGAACTCAGAATCTGGGGCAGGCGTGGGGTCAAGTGATTTAAAGTAATTGTGACAGAACCACATCTTTGGTTGCCTCTCTGGTTGGATCTCTAGTACTCCTTTCCTGTTGAAAAAACTCTTCTCCAAGGCTTGCTTTCTTATGGTACTGGAGGCTTACAATAGAGGAACTAGTGCTGATCTCTGAGGTGGTAGGCACCACCTGTCTCTCATTTCTTGGTTTCACATTAAGTCTTTTCCCTGTTTCTTTCATCCTTTTTGCTAGAAGAAAGATAAACTGCAGCTTTGTGTTTTTCCTCAACTGCTGTTAGTCCCAGCTCATTAGCTGATGACGTGTCTTCATACCAACTTTGCATTTGCTGGACTAGCATTACACGGCACAGTTCGTGTAATAGTAAGAGTGCTATTTTACATTTCCCAAATAGGACACTAAATCCCTCATGTTCTTTAAACTGGAGATCTGACGAAGTGCAGGCACTCACATTTATCAACACAGCTGACTTCAGAAATTCCTGAGCTGCAGCACTCTGGAGGCTGGGAAGGTGAACCAGGGAAGGATTACCATGTGTTTGCCTTACTCTTCAATTCTTGCCTGGTCCATTGGGCTGGATATTTGGTATACCCTCTTACAGTACTTAGGTTCTCAGGTTGAATAGCACCCCATAAAACCTGCTAACTCCCAGGAATCTGAAGGAATCATCAGCATTAAGTGCCTACAGCATGCACATTTCTCCTGTGGAGTCTAATTCAGACCACAGCACAGATTAAAAATGCTGACTACATGGCACTAAAGCGATTTTTAAAGGAGATACAGTACCCATCTTGTTGTTGTTAAGAGGGTGGTGTTTCTCAACCTGTAGACGGATGTGCCTGGGAAAGAGCTAAAAAAGCAAACCTACCTTCAGAGCATGCTTAAAATCACGAGGCAGGACTCTGCTTCACAGAAAACTTTAAAGGAAAAAGCTGAGGCAAACAGGTTGAAAAGGCTTAAAAGCCTTTGGCTGTGTGGATAGGGCCCTGAGAAGGAGATGTATCCTTTCTCTGCCTGGATCCATGCCCTGCCTAGGCAGATGAGTGGCTCACCTGCCAGATCCACAGTGAAGCAGAACAATCTCCACTGTTTCTGCTGATGCAGTGCCACCATGTACCAAGTACTGCAAAATTAACAGAGAAAGACTGCCTTGTCAGGGGCAAGGGCTTGATCTGAGCGAGCCGGGGGTCTGGGCTCTGTGCCCTGACTTGTGGGTTCTTTGTCGAGGACTGTTCAATATAAAGTTTACAGTACACACAGGCAGCCTGCTGTCACACCTGATGCCTCCTTCCCCGCTGCTCCAACCAAGAGCAAGAGGTCTCCACCGCAGACTCCTACAGATTAACTAAATTCACCTAAGTTATTTCTTAGTACTTCGGTCAGCCCGGGAAGGGAGAAGCATATGTCCCCTCCTGCCAGGCAGGATGACCGCAGGCGCTGCGCCGGAGATGCCCGTGTCCCGCAGGCTCTGGGACGGCAGATGAAGAGGGCGACAGGAGAGGAGAGGAAAGGCAGCAAGAGAAGGGAGGGCTGCGCCCCATCCCCGTTCTAAAGCACCGAGAGGAGCTGGCAGGAGGAGCGGGCACGGGGCGGCGAGGCAGGGGGGTGATCCCAGCGGCAGGGCCGGGCAGGGCCGCCAGCGCGGTGCTCTCCGCCCGCAGCCCCCGTGCCGGCCCGGGCCGGCGGGGCCCGGAAGGCGCCGCGCTCTCTCCCGGCCGCTGAGTGGCGGCGGAGCGTCACGTGCGCTCGGCCGGGCCGGGCCGGGCTGTGCCGGGCGGGCGGGAGGCGGCGGCGGGTGCGGTGTCCCGGAGCGGCGGTGCGACATGTCCCACCAGACCGGCATACAAGGTACCCGCGCGGCTCTCTCCGTCGCCTCCGCTCCGCGGTGCTCGCTGCTCCTCTTGACAGCCGGTCCCCGTCTCTCCTGTCCCCCGCCAGCCAGGCGGGAGGCGGGCGGAGCGCCTTTCCCCGCGGGTCGGGGCGCGGCACGGGGGGAGGCGGCCGCGGCGGGCGGTTAACGGGCCGTTCCCGGTGCGGTTTTTCCCACTGCTGCGCCCTTTGTTTGCTGCCGGAGGAGTCCGTCGTTTGCGCCGCGGGATGGAGGGGGGAAGGGGGCGAGCGGGCGGGGGGAACTGCTGCTGGTTTCGGCCCCGGCGGCCGACGCCCCTCGGGGTCGAGCCCAGAGCTCTGTCCCCAGTGAGGCGAAGCCCGCAGGGTTTATCCGCGCGGCGAATTGCCCCTATCCTCCCCCTTGGAAAGTGTTCCCTGCAGAGCCCCATGAATGGCGGGGAGGGCCACCCTAGGCTCAGGTAACTTCCCCCGGTGCAGGTTTTCCTGCCGCGGCGGGGTGTGCGCCGAGCCGGGGGCTGTCGCCTGCTCGGGGTCGCCGCCGCGGGTTTGGGATGGGTTGGACAGCGAGGGAAATGCCGGGGATCGCTGCCGGGTCCCTCCTGGAGCCCCGAGGAGAAGCAGGAACCCTGGAGCAGGAGAGTCCACTAAAAAGCCCATCTCTGGAGGCCACCAAGGGGAAAAGTGCATGGGAACGTTTTCTCCCCGTGTTTCCAGGCCTTGGAGTAAGCGAAGACCAAGTAGAAGACGACAGCGTATTGTTTCACAGTATTAGCAGGTCCCCCGAATCACAGAATTGCTAAGCAGGGATTATACTGCAGGATTATGGAGGGGTCGGGTTTTACTGTCTCGATTTCTGCAATCTGTGTATTCAGTGACTAGTACCATGTACTTTGCCTGCTCTCCCATATTTATTGTTGAAGGTGACTTTTGTCCCAGCCACGACAGCTCTTAGTTGTTCGTCTATGCCCTTTTTTGTCCATTGGCTGTATGTAGTTTGCACCCTTTTGCTTTTCTTCTTTTCCTTCCTCTGCATGCCAGTCTTTGGTCTTTTTGCAGCTGCCTGTTTTAAGTTTGTCAACCCTTTTCAGGCTAGAGGTGCATCTGGAATTGTTTTTTCCAGTCCAGAGAAAAGCGTTAGTGGCTCTTCATTCCCTCTTCTGCTGCTCCCCTTCATGTCTTTGAGAATCATTTGTCCTCTGAGGAGAGTTGTGGAGAACTCTGCAGCTTTCCTGCATGGATCCGGCCTCAGCAGGCACTAATCAGGAGTCCTGTTTGCAGCAAAGCTTCTGCAATTTGGAAGAGGAATAGCTCTGTTTGTGCCATTGCTGGCTTTAGCTACAAACAGGCTACTGTCACTCATAAACAATTACAAGATTTGGCAGCATGGGCTGCTCTTTTCTGGAAACAGAAATGAAGTCATGGGCACAGTGATGTGTACCAGGCAGTTGCTAAAAGGACTGGACTTTCAAACAGGCCACTGCAGATAGTGTAGGAAGTCACAGAATGCATTAAGCTGTAGGAAAATACAACAGAATATGTTCACAATCTTCTAAATAATTTAAAAATAATATTCCCTGTAAAATATTTGTGAAATAAATGCAAAATTTGATTCTGTAGGCCTCTGCTATGCAAAAAGTTTAAGTAGAAAATAATATTCTGTTATGAATTTAAAAGTCTTTATGAGGAAAAACTCACAGATAATTTGATAGTAAGATGGTTTCAGAGGTGTCTCAAAATGTTTCTTTGAGGAGCTGTCACAGTTCTGAAATTGGTGTAGGGACTGCTGTATTTTGGTCTTGTTTTGGTGCGCAGAGTTGAAATGAGAGAATAAGGAACAAAAAGATAATAGACAAGAAGAGGACAAAAAAAGTCCTGGGGGAACCAAAAGGTCTAGAAAGTGGTGCAATGTTTGCTTGCTCAATGGAATGGTGAGGACCAGCAGAGATGATTAGATAAGCTAGCAGCAAATTACTGGGAGGGTCTGCACTGGTTGGTGGGGAGATACTAACTGGGACGAAACTGGGGTTGAACTGGTAACCCGATGCAGTTCAGTTTGCTTAACATAGTATTTCCCTCCCATGCCATTTTGGACTCTCAGAATGGGCCTGGCATCGTTTGGATGGACATAAATGTAAAATCTTTTGAGTATGGGCAGTAATGTTGCTGGATACCACCTGTTCAACCTGACTATAAATAATCCATTTTATATGTTTCCTGGTTTGATGTTTGTTTTGCTGGTACAATGATCTATGCTGTGAGATTACTTAAAGGACCATCTTGCAATAAATGTTCTTCAATAAATCCTGCCCATGGTATAATTAAACTGATTTGCACTCGGATTATATAGCAGAGCAGTTGAGATAAGAATGATCTTCCCGCAACTGAAGCACAGTTCTTCAGTGTGCTTAGGAAAGCGAGTCTGTACGTTTATGGTGTTTTGTCTATGTGATTTACAGACATTCAAAAATATTTTAGTTACTTCTTTGTAAATTCATTATAAACCTATCCCACTGCAATAGGTTGGAGCTTGAACAATGTCATCAAACACACAAGGAAATAAGGTGGTATGAAAGATGAGCAATGAGTGGAAGCTTTCACTGGTACTCTTTGGAAAGGTGTACTCAGGAAAGATCATCACTTTTGCCAGACAAACTCTAACATTTTCCTGGCAGGTGTAAAGTTTCTGTCTGAAAGTTTGTACTAAGCCTCCAGACTTCATGAAGCTATCGTAATTTGAGAGGCATCATATTATATTTTCAGGTGTTAACTCTGAAACCTGAGATTGATGAGATGTCATCTTTAATTTTCACAATGTTGAAAATCATATGGTATGCTAGAAAGCAGAGCGGTTTCATAATGTTGGCTTTCATCTTTCTGTGGCATGCTGGTGGCTGGAGCAGTATGCAGAATAGGAGGAGCATCACTCCTGTGTTCCTTTTTCAGTCCAACTTTCTAGCAAAGGGCCAGTTGTACGTTTTTCCAGTGTTGTTCTTACCCTCATGAATGTTCTTTGTCCAAGGGAAGTGAAATGTGTTAATTTGATTACTTTTATTTTCTCTTTTTCAGCTAGTGGAAGTGTTAAAGACATCTTTGTTGGTGCAAGAAATGGACAATATAGGCTTTTAAAAATAGTCATTGATAATGGTTAGTAAAATTTTAATCTTTTTTCCCTGATTCTTTTAGATATTTTCCTAGTTGTTTTAATGGCCTACAATTGTTTTAAAAACAAAACTTTGCCAAACTTAATGTTACTAAGGTCTTTCCTATACAAAAGTTAAAATTTAAGTTTTAGTGATGCTAAGCTTTTTACTACAATGCTACTGTATTTTTGCATTTGAATTTTTCTCCCAAATGTCATATTTTACCAATAACTGCTTGGATCCATTTATCATATGGATAATATAAATGGGCTTACTTTTATCTCTTAGTAAAGAAAGAGTAGAGGGAAAGAAAATTTCTACACCTGTGTGGTGTTTTAGCACTCTGGTTACTTTCATGAGACAGAAAGCTAGTCTTACACAATAGCTAGTCACCTTAGATGAACTGTAAATTTTATCTGCCTTTTATGCTGGGATCAGCTGCATGTAGAAAGTCCTATTAAAGCAGATATTTAAGTAGTAATCTGACTACATGGAAAATATCTTTAAAAATCTGTAACTTTACATACATTTTCAAAATTAAAACTCACATGTATGTATAAATAGAAAATTACATAATTTCTGTCAGAACTTGAGTTTGAACTTCTTGGCAAGGGATCAAGGCTGCAAACATTGAAAGATAGAATATATAATTATTTTTTTCTTTAATAGAAATGCAGATTGGTTGTATAAGATGTTTGTATAAGATGGTTTAGTCCATCTTTTCAAGTGTGTAATTTGTCCACTTTGAAGATTTTTGTTCTTGACTTCATTCATTTACAGTACACTGAAATAGCTGTTAGCTGGATGTATGTATATACATATACATACTTTTATTGTTAGGCAAATAACCTACTGTTACTTTATTTAGGTTTGCTTTACTTAGAAAGTCTTCTGACATTTTAATATAGCTTTCCTTAAGGAAGTGGCAGTAGTAATATTATAGGCAGGACTCAGTGGTAAAGTCTCAGTAGCATAAGATAGTAAATGTTGACATACCATTGAATTTTTCTTCCCCATTAAGCAAGAAAAAACTATATACTTTTGTGTATATGCAAATTTATAATATGAAATGAAGCCTAGAAATAAGATACAAATGGAAAACTTTCCCTATTTTTTTCATTTCTGTGTGTATGTATACATGTACATATATTTATATATATATATATCAATTTCATCTCTATATAGAAGCAAAATCTAGTCTTTGATACTATTTTCTGCAGTTCGAAAAGAAACCTGTAAAACTCCCAGAATACTGAAAGAAGGACAGTTGCCTCATCTGTCTGTAGGAGCTTTCAGCAACAGATTATAGTCCTTAGTCCTTGCCCTTAGTCAACAGATAATAGGCAAATAAGAGTTCTGCTAATCTGAGTTAATAAGAGAGGAGGTTTGCTGCAGGGCAGTAGCGTTCCACTGATTGTGTCTTAAATCCAGGTAAGTATAAATCCACCTAGAGTTCAGAATTGGTGAGTACATTCTGAATACTCTGGTTTAGGTGTACAACTTCAAAATACTTCACATCTAATTTAGGGAAAGGCCAAACACCCTTGCCCTGAGCTGTTCATGTTCTATGAGTTACTGTGGAAGGGTCCTTTGTTTGAAATTTTGCTGTAGAGGCATTTGTATACTGTTTCACTTTTGTCTGAAGTTTTAGAAATTAAGTCCTAGACTCTGAAAAGATAACTTGTATACTAGCTACTACGATGGTCCTCAAACTGTTGTAGGATCCCATTTAAACAAGGTATTTCTATTTCAATTGTAGGGGCTAGTACGTAATGGGAAGCTGATAAATGTTTTATAAGACAGTATACTAATACTTTCCTTTAGAAGCTGAGATATGATGCATAAATAACAGAAAAATCTTGTTGCTACAGCTGTTCACATAATTAAATACCATTTGAAGTACTCTATACAGACTTAAGCCAATTATACATGATAAACAACTTCAGTCATTTAAAGACCATAGCTATGAAGCTGTATTAGAAAGAGGTTTATCTACTTACATAGTCAAGTTAAAGTGATTAATGCAAGCATATTCATTCCAGACTCTTTTCACTGTATAACTGAGTTATTGACTCCTTACAATGGGTGCAAACACTAATATTTTATAGCATGAGCATCAATAATTATAATTCTAAAATTTGAAAGGTTACTCTCATTTGTACTTAGGCATTTCAGTTTAAAAATAAACTGGCAGAAGACAGTTCTTATTTCCCTTCTGTGTATGTGCTGCTAAAAAAATTAACATCAGTAGTATCACTTCAGATCAAAGAATTTGATAACAACCAGCACATTACTTTTCAAATGTTTGTATTTTGGTTAAAGTGAGTTAGAGTTTGAATATACACAGCTTTTATAGGAATTCAGTTGCTTTCATGTTGACTGTTCTTGACTCCCATTCTTGTGGACATAATTATGAAAGTGTCCAATTAACTGCTTATTTTAATTGTTAATTTTGAAAAACAATATTAACTGTGTTGTTGCTAACCTGTAGCTTTTTATTGGTTGTAGAGCAGCTTGTTGTGGGATCCTCTAGACGGCCAGTTGGATCATGGGAAAAGGATTACGATTGCTTTGTCCTTCCCCTTCTTGAAGACAAGCAACCATGTTATATATTATACAGATTAGATTCTCAGAATGCTCAAGGATATGAATGGATCTTTATTGCATGGTCACCTGATCACTCTCCTGTAAGTAACAGGCATCAGAGGCTTCATGTTGTTGGTGATTTTTCAACAGGGCCATTTGATCTGAATCCTAGATATGAAGCAAAAGGATTTAAGGAATGAAGCATTCCCCAACCTTCCCTCTACATTCCCACAAGAAAACTGGAAAAATGTTTCTTGAAGCTGATTGAAGAGCAAATCAGTAGGCCTAGATGGAGTGCAGATGATCCAATATATTTTTAGCCTGACTAGAGCACTAAGTGCAATTTTTTTGCCCTGTTTGTCTGTCTTACTGTCAGTATTTCATAAAAATTCATGAAAAGATATAGGACAGAAATCTTAATGGGTGTTATCGTAGAGAGAAGGATTATAGTGTGAGCTCAAGCTGTTTATATTCTGTTTGGCTTGCCACAGAATACACTGCTTCTTAATCAGTAATTCAAGAGCATAGGAGGGAACTGAGAGGAACTCCTTAGAGTTAAGGTTTTATAGGAGAAACTAAGATACTGTGTGCAGGTTCTGGGAATGTGAGATAAGGGAAGACAGAAAGTAAAACTATTCCAGTATTCCTACTGCTTTCATTAGTAGTTAGGAAATAGTAAGACACTGAAAGTTGAAGTGCGTAGAGAAGATTGTGGAAAAGGTGAAGTATTATGGAGAGGATGTCATGATGGTTAAATAAGGTGGGAAGATGAGACTGTTGAGAGAGGAATAAGTGACCATGTTAGACACAATTTGATAGGGAGCAAATATAACTTTTCTACTCTGTAGTTGAACCATCAGTATCTGGAGTCACTATCAAATAAAAAATAATAACGAGTTATTATTTCCAGTCTGCTCTTTCGCTGTCTGTTGTATCCATTAGTACACAGACCAGTGGCAAAAGATCTATACAGTTGTGGGTTTTCCCATTTAAAATTAGTAAAGATTGTGTTGACTTTTTTCCCACTTTAAAAAACCCTCATACTCTTACTAAAGCTGCAATTCAGTTTTGCAATTACTGTGATAATAATACATAGTATCATGACCTGGTGAATTTAATAGCACGTGTGAGTATCATGATCCAGAGCTCTACCAGATTATAGTGCAATTCCAACATTTAAAATACTTGTTCAAGAAAGATACTAGTTAATGGACATAGTACACCGTGTTAGATTCTCTTTGTACACCAAAGAGCAAAAAAGTATCCAAATCAAACCCCCACTCTTTTATTATATGCTAGGTTCGTCAAAAAATGTTATATGCAGCAACCCGAGCAACACTTAAGAAAGAATTTGGAGGTGGTCACATTAAGGATGAAGTATTTGGAACGGTACAGGTATGTTTTTCTTTTTAAAGTCAGGACATTGACTTTAAATACTAAATGTACTAGCTAATATTACTGGTATGAATTTGGGGTGTTTCTGCTCTTTTTTGATTAAGGAAAAAAAAGACTTAAAAGCTGTGCGTATTATTACAATGTTCAAGTGTATTTGATCTCATTTGGACAAGTTACTAAGTATAGGTAATATCTTCAGGCTAAGAAGCCCTTGCTTCAAATAGTTAAGTTATGAAAACTAAATAATCTAAACATAATAGGCACCTCTCTTAATCTCACGGCATGTATGTGAGTCCTCTAAAAGCTGTAACACTAACTTCCAGGCCAGTTGTATACACAAGCCACTTTAGATATGTGGCTCTGGATGGGCTAGAACAGTGATCTGTAAGCTAACACCTGAAAACAAATGTTCTTCTCTTAAACTAAGGCTATGAAGTTGTCAGTTCTTTAGGATTTGGCCATAGAATGTACCTCACATGCAAGGCTGCCATCTTGACTTTGGGAAACAGACTTTTAGTAGCTACTGATTTGTTCAATGAAAATAGTAATAGTTGAGTGTTCACTTACGGTAAGATAATTAAAAGGTGCATATATGAAATCTAACAAGTGTCTAAAGGATGTTGCAAAGGCTGCAAGTGCTGTGCACGTAGGGAAATATGGAGCTATTACCTTAGTTTCTGTGAGAAACAAGTTTTACATGGTTGTGATGTCTGCCTGTTTGTAAAGCAGATGTCAGACAGTTCTGACTTAATCCATTGCCAGTTTTAAAAGAAATACAAGTTAGAATTCTCAGAGATAAAGAATTCTCATAGTTTTCATAAGAACTGAGATTACACAGAGATTCAAATTATAATTACTCAGTTCCTCTTTCAGCAAAGACTGCATCAGTTATTTTCTGTCTGACCTGTTAATCAGTTCATCTGAAAAAATCTGAACCAAAGCACTGCCACTGTTGACAGGAAGCTGGTGCTGAAGGAATGGAAGGAGTTGGAGGTTTGGGGAAGAATAGAGGATATTGTAGTGGGAAAAAGCCTGTGAAAGAGAGATGGGCTGTTGTGGTGGACATGAGGCTAATAATTCTGCTGCTCACTGAGTAGTTTGTTATATTTAGCATTAACCTGTCATGGAGGCTTCATTATCCTAACAAACATGCAAATAAACCTCTCTGGAGAGGCTGTATTCTAGGGAAGTAGATAACCAAGTTGCTAAGAGGGTTTACTGGTAGAGGTCATGTTATTTTTTTCTGAAGAACTTCATGGACACAGTCTTCATTAATGCTAATTTTTTAATTAGCAAGGTAATTAAGGACTGATTGTGGAAATGCTACCCATGGTAAAACAAGAACAGCCCAGAGGACTTTGTTGTGGATGAGCTGAATTTGCAAATGCACCTACACTTGTATTCTGTTCAAATAAAATGATCATAAATGTATGGACAATAACTGCTTTTTGTACTGCTGCATAGAAAATCTTTGAAGAAAACTATTTATCTATTATAAAAAAAAATGTTCAATATTGATATTGTGCTTTCAGGATGATGTTTCACTGAACGGATATAAAAAATATTTGATATCACAATCCTCCCCTGCACCCTTGACTGCAGCAGAAGAGGAACTTCGACAAATTAAGATTAATGAGGTACCTAGAACATCTTCAAGCTTGGGTGGGAAACAGGGTGCAGAGTTCCAAATGTGTTGTAGGGAAATATCTTTCTAGGGTAAAAAAAGGCAGAGCAGAAAATGGAAAGTTTTAGGAAGTGTGAGTGGATGAGAATATAAATTTATTTCTCAAGGAGTTGAAACTGCAGGATGATGATGACTCGAGTTGGAGCGGCATGATCTTGCTGAGTTTGAAAGGCCTCATGTCTGAATCAGAGGCTTGGCAACTGCAGAGCTTAATTGTTGCAGCATTGGCTTTTAATATCACTGGATGTGCTTCCTTGGGAAGGGTGACAGAGTACTGGCATGGGTTGCCCTGGAAGGTTATGCAATCTCCATCTTGGAGATACTCAAAAGCTGTTTGGACAGAGAACTGGGCATCTGGCTGTAGGTGGCCCTGACTGAGCAGGGTGGTTGGACAAGATAACCTCTGGCGAGGTCTTCCAACCTCAGCCATTCTGTGATTGTCCACATACATTTCCCATGGTGGCAGAAATTGTAGAGAAAACACAAAATAGCAACTATTGCAGTGAATGATTGCCAGGAGTATTTCAGCAATCTTATTCCTAAAGGAGAGATACCTAGCTTCCAGCACCAGTGCACTTATCTTTAAGACTGAGAGGAAGTGAATTCCAATAAAAATAAAATAGAAATCCAATCCAAGTCTTTTTAAGAGACTGATTTGCTTATGCTACGAACACTTTTTAGAAAAACCTCTAACAAGTGCTTTTAACCAAATAATTTGATGATTGCCAGCTAGCTAGTGTCTGAAAAGTTTCAGAGGATTCTTTTTCTCACATTTTTCCTTCACTTGATCACTGTTTGTGTACAGATGCATATTAAAATAGGTCATGTGCTGACCTTGTTTGTTTTCGAAACTTGTATTTTACAGCTGTGGTACGTGTATTTGAAGTATGATTTATTTCTGCAGCTGGATACCGGGAAACCATCATATTAAATTCAGCTGTGTATCTTCTCTTATGTTTTCACTCTATACTGTGCTTTTGCTGAAGCTTTGTTGTTTATTGACTTTTTTTCCCAGTAGTGTCTTTCGTTATTTTTCATTTCTGGTTTTAATTAATTCGATGTAGAAATGCATTCACCATCATCAAACAGTGCATTTTACTTGATCAGCTTTTAAAAAATAAAATTAATGAATGTAAAACTTCAGTGGGATCGGCGGTCACCTCTGGTATTAGTATTATCTCTTATGCACTACATACCATGTGGTTAACAGCTGATTCATCCAGACTAAAACGAAACTTTAACAGCAATAGCTGTGCTTTTCAGAGACACATAAACTGATAAACACATAAAGATTGCTGCCATTTTGGCTTTGTTAGAAATGTCTCACAATACATTAATTTACGTTATTTTTGTCTTTATTGTTTCTACCATTACAAAGCCTGTAATTGGACTTAGAAAACGAAAAGCTTTCTGATTTTAAAAAGTTTTCCATATGTATATTCTTTCATAATTATCATAAGAAATATTTTACTGGGTCAGATCAAAGGATCACCTAGTCTGTTGTCAAGTCCTTGAGTGAACAACGGCAGAAATCTAGGAAGCATGTAAGAGCAGGGCAAGAAGGCCATGATAATTACTTTAAATACTCTTTTTTGCCTCAACATTTGCAGGGAGGGATCTTCCTGCACAAAAGATGACGTGTTACTGTATAATTGTTCTTAATGGGTTTTTCATCCATCATCTAGACTTGTCATTTTTCTAAATCCACATAAAGTTTTTGTTGGCTGCAGATCCTATGGCAGCATATTCTACAGCTTGACAGAGTACTGTGTAAATAAAGAACCATTGATTGCTATCTACTAATTTATTCTGTTAACCCCACAGATTGTGTGGGGAAGGCAAAGAAAAGTCTTTAAGTCAATCCTCAGTTTCCTCCTCCCCTTAGATAAAGCCAGCTGTATCCCAGAAAGCCAACTGTATCCTGTGCTGCCCCAAAAGTAGTGTGATCAGCAGGTCAAGGAAGGTGATCATCCCCCACTACTCTGCGCTGGTGAGATCCCACCTGGAACACTGCATCCAGCTCTGGGGTCCTCAGCACAGTAAAGATGTGAACCTGTTGGAGTGGGCCACAAAAATGATTAGAGGGCTGGACCACCTCTCCTGTGACAAAAGGCTGAGAGAGTTGTGGTCTTTCAGCCTGGAGAAGAGAAGGCTCCAAGGAAATCTTACAGAGCACTTAAAGGGGGTTTATAAAAAAGGGCACAGATATTTTAGCAGGGCCTGTTGCAATTGAACAAGGGCTAGTGGTTTTAAACTGAAAGAGGGCAGGTTCAGATTAGATATGAGCAAGAATTTTTTTACAATGAGTGTGGTGGGGCACTAGCTCAGGTTGTCCAGAGAGGTGGTAGATGCCCCATCCTTGGAAATATTCAAGGTCAGGCTGGAGAGGGCTTGGAGCAATCTGGTTTATTTGAAGATGTTGCTGCTCACTGCTGGAGTGTTGGACTAGATCACCTTTAAAGGTCCCTTCAACCCAAACTGTCCTATGATTCTATATCCATGGACCTCTGTCGTTTTCCTTATCAGTTATCTCTTCCAGGCTGAAGAGTCCTAATCTAGGTAGTTCCTCCTCCTCAAGGAGGCACTCCATACTTCTGATCCTTTTGCTTTTCTCTGCAGTTTTTCCAGTTCTGCTATATAATTTATGAGATGGAGGGATGGGGAAGCCAGAACTGCATGTGGTATTCAAGATGCAGGCATGTTACTGATATCTACAGTGCGTAATGATGTGTTCTGTTCTCTTTTTCTAACAATTCATAACATTTCATTTGTGGGTTGGGAGTGTTCGGGATTGTTTTTTGGTTTGCTTGGGGTTATTTTCAGAGATATTCGGAATGACCTGCAAGGTCTGGCTCCTGAATGGTAGTAGCTAGCTCAACGCCATTACCAGAGAGGTAGATGAGAGGTTTTTTTTCCTCCTGCGTACATTATTTTATATTTATTCACAGGAAATTTCATCTGGCATTTTATCCACCACTCAGCAGCCATCACTAACTAAATCTTACGGTGTGAATTTAAATATACATAATCAACTTAGGTGGTTTTGTTTTGCTTTAAAGGTCTGAAATATGTTGCAATATGAACAAGTAGGTTTTGTTTGTTTTCTTGTATCTGGAGTTATATTGGGTTACTCTCTTCCCTTGCCTGTCTCTCACACTTCACAGTTCATTTTTAAGTTTGAAGCATTTTTTTTTGTAATTGTATTTTAATGTGGTTTCTGTAGTATGGTATTTTATTACAGTTTATTATTTTTGTGATGCCAATTTTACATTTACTGATCAGGGTTTTATGCAGATATATTTTGCAAATATTTTTTTCTATAATCTAATTCATAAATTTATCCATCTTTATACAAAAGTAAGCTCTCCACCTGCTTTCTTTTCCTCTTTCCTTGTTGCTGACAAGTTGTTTTTCAAAATCTGGAGTATAATCTAGTGTTGCTACAAGTACCTTTGTTTTTTATTTTTCTTATCATTTTGTTTCATACTTCATTAGCATCTCTTTTTAATTAAAGCTGAATAAGTTGATAGATCTAGTTGATAGATCTAAGACCCACACTTTCTATCTGGTACACTTTTCTGACTTTTGCTCCTTCATAATCAATGTTTAATGTATTTGAGAAATCATAGAAGAAAGTTAATATATTCAAAAGCTAGTACTTAGACAATAAATTAAGACTGGAGAATATTGGAGGCCAGAGCTGATTTTAAGAGAAACTACATGAATATTAAGATAAACATAAATTCTTGAAAAATGGCTTTAAATTAACTGTCCTTTTCTCTCAAATAATTTGTGCCTAATGTAACTGGATTATGAAAAATTTTTTAGCTTGTGCTGAATTTTTCTTTGTGTTAGACCTTCTAGAAGGTCTAATCCTTAAGAAATGAAGATTTTGTTTGTTTATTTTGTTTGCTTTGGTTTTGCTATAGGCTTTTTGGGGGAGTGTGTTGAAGCAGGAGGGGGAATAGTTGTTCTTTTCTTTCAAGAAGATCAGTTTGTCTCATAAGATATAATTTCTCTGTTCCTCCAAAAATTTTGACTCCCTAGAAATCAAATCTATGTTTTGATCTAAAATTCTTCACTATACAACAAAGTTTATAAACAATATTGTCAGTTCAAAAGTATAAAACAGCATATGAAAATCAAGATTTTTCCTCCTGGATTATTGTATCTTTATACCAGAATTTAACTTAGGGCTTCTTCACTGACACTTGAACCAGTTTTCCCTCTGATGATTTTGTTGCTCTGCTAAGCAGAGCCATTTCAGAGATATGAAACTTCTCAGGTTAGCAAACAAGCATGACCTGTAAATTAAAAAATGCAAATCTCTTGTATATAGGGATGATTTTTTTGAGATGTTTTACTCTTGGAATAGCTACTGCTAACTCTGTGTGTAACCATATGCAATACCAGTCATTGTATGAAACCAAACGAATGCTTGCAAAGGTTTCTTTTAACATCTCAGTTAACTTGCGTTCCAGGTACAGGCAGACGTTGGTGTAGACACCAAGCATCAAACATTGCAAGGAGTAGCATTCCCCATTGCTAAAGAAGCTATTCAGGCTTTGGAGAAATTGAAAAATAAGAAACTCAATTATGTACAGCTGGCAAGTATAAAATATTTTAACTATTTTTTAATAGTGAGTATAAAATAAATTACCTGCATGCTAAACATGTGTTGCTGTAGTACACTGATAAATTACTCTTATTAGATTAAATAAAATTTTTTTCATCCTGTTATGTTCTCTGGTTTGCTTTCTGCCTATTAACTGTATTCATGTTTGCTTTGTTAACAGCAAATTGATATGAAAAATGAAACTATTATTTTGGCCAACACACTTGATACTGAACTTAAGGACTTGCCAAAAAGAGTTCCAAAGGATGCTGCGCGTTACCACTTTTTCCTGTATAAGCACACACATGAAGGAGACTATTTGGAATCCATAAGTATGAGAAAATTTCTCAATATGAAACTTCATTGGCTTGTTTCAAATACTTTAGGAATTTTGAGGCAGAGAAAGATGTGTCATAGAAGTAATCTGTCAGCATGATCATAAATTTCAGAGTCATTTGGTTGTGAAAGTGTCTTGTGAAGGAGAGTCCTTATGTTTGGAAAGTAATGAGCTATCCCTTTGGATTATGAACACCCATAAATGTCAAAACATAAATACCGGCCATTCTCTTATCCCCCATTTGAAATTAAACACTTGCTGAAGCAAAAAAGATCCAGAATGGTGTTACATTTTTCCGTTTCAGACTGCATAGCTGATTTCCAATGCCTCTGTGCTGTAAATGATTTTATGATAAAGCTTTGATGGAGTGTAGTTATGGTTTGATTTGTGGTTTGTTTGTTTTTTTCCCTGCAGTTTTCATCTACTCTATGCCAGGGTATACCTGTAGTATACGAGAACGAATGCTCTACTCTAGTTGCAAAAGTCCACTGTTAGAAATTGTAGAAACACAGTTGTGGATGCAGATAATTAGAAAGGTAAGTGCATTGGGGTGTATAGGTAGTTTCTCCATCCCTCTCTTCACTTCTTCATGTAAAACTGTAATTGTCTCTGTCACCACCTTCTCTAAACAATGAAAAATGTTCTGTAACTATTAAAGTTTATCCTGAACAGGAAATAATTGTTGATGAAGCTCCAGATACAAAGTTAAGTCTTGGAAGCTTTTCTCTGTTTCATAATTTCTGCACTTTCAGATCTTTAACAAGTACATCCTTGTGCATCAAGGAAGTGTTTGAGTGTACTTTGAAGAACTAACATGATTTCTTACTCAAAGCCGAGTCATATTTTGGAGCACAACATATTGCTGTTGTTGAAAACTAAATTCCCTTAAAGCCAAGGTTATGTAAGGATTTTCAAAATAATTTCAAGCTGCAGTTCTGGAAATTAGAACTGCTATTTTAGGAGTCCTTGATGAGGCAAACAAGGATTTTCAAGTAAGCTGATCTTTTCACACTGTATGGATTGTACTGCTATGCAAAAAGTTGCTTCTCACCTCCAGAGCAGAGACCATAGAAATGGTCCAGTTGTGACCTACAGTTATTTTCTTAACATTTGTGCGAGAGCTTGGTTTCTGAGATGATGTTTTTCTAAAAAATAGCAGAGTTAATATTAACCATTTTTACTGAGATGACATCAATTAGATAGATTATTGCTATGTGTTTTTATATTTAATTATTTCTCAGAAATTTTCTTTCTACAACAAAATAAATGCACCATGTGACTCCTGAAAATTCCTGTAGACAGAAATTTCTGAGGCATGTACTTGTAACAGCAAAACTGTGGCTGGCAAGTCTGTTAAGTGTTACAGTTGGCAGGGCATGAAGTGTTGAATGCTCAGCAGAGTAGGGCCAAAGCATTTCTCTGAATTTTAAATTCTTGCATTTCAAAACAGTGGAGTTTGGCTTGAGAACACTATTTTCTTTCTATTCGGGTTCATATGTCTAAATTTTGAAAATTAAAACACCCACTCCTCCATTTTGTTCATTAAACTTATTTTACCTTTCCCCCGCCTTGAATACTTGCTGAGCGGCAGTAGCCAGCTAATAATATAAGCTTGTTTATACTCCTTCCCCTCTTTCTCAAGAGACAACAATATATATGCACATTGCTTTTACAATTAGTGTTTAAAGCATGTTGTAGTGAAAACTTTTAATTCTTAAAATGTGTGAATACTTAAAACAAGTAAACAAGCACTAGTTTTGCATGGAATGTGTTCTCCTGGTTAGTGTTAACAGGTGCACTGTGCTAAAGCTTGAGACAAAAACAGTTTCTTCTTGGCAGATGTACTTGTGTAGTTGTGCTTATATTTCAGGAAAATAATTTAAGTCACACTTAATACTGGTAAGAATCAAGGGGATTCTCAGAAAAACTATCCAAGATTTCTCAGGGCATTAGGCACAAGTTGGAGAACTTTCCATGCTATGACTTTGAACATTATTGCACATACGGTTTTAATATAGTATTTAGTTTCAGCAAAATTTCAAAATATTTTTTAAGTTTGACTTTAATATGAATATGATAAATGTTGGTTTTTTTCCTGCCAGATTGAAATTGATAATGGTGATGAGTTAACTGCTGACTTTCTTTATGAAGAGGTTCATCCAAAACAACATGCTTACAAACAGAGTTTTGCTAAACCAAAAGGTCCTGCGGGGAAGAGGGGAATACGAAGACTGATCAGAGGTCCAGCAGAGACTGAAACACCTAGTGATTAGAAACTGTTGTTTATATTTGTTAAACTATTACAGTAGGAAACTAATTTCTGGCTTTTGGTAATGAACTGAAATCATTCCATTAATAGATTCTAGTGGGGAAAAAGGCTCTTTTTACTCTTCTCTTTTCTGACCTCAACACTTTTTATATTGTTACATGATTATATTTGTTGACCATGTTTTATGACATGTAGAAGAGCTAATTATTTTAAAGCTATAAAAGTAAGACTAAGCTAGTACCCATTTATTTTAATTTAGAATCCATTATTTAATAGTTGTACATGTGATCATAAACTTTACAGACATAAGACTATGAAACTCATGTATTCTGTGGGCAAGTTGCAGCCGTATTCTTATGCACAGCCTATTGAAACATGTAAGACTTTCCATATAAAGATGACATAGCATTGTCCCAATTAAATCTTTATTTTTCCTTGTAGCACTTATGGACATTAGTACAGTAGAAGGTTTTCCTCTGATTTTGACAGGATGCATTGTTGGGTTTTGTTGTTGTTTGGTTTGGTTTTGTTCCTTTTGTTTTTTTCTTGTAATGGAAAAGATAAAAATCAGTTATTGTTAAATTAATGTAAGTATTCAGGAATAGCTGGGTATTTTCCTATGCAAACGCTTGGTCATCTCAAATTTATAACTAATTTCATGGAATTGTCTTTTAAGGAAATCTAACATAAAAACCACTAGCTTTTCCAGTCTTACGTATCACTCCGAAGCCTTACATATTAGGTACCGAATGACCAAGTAAAAGGTGATTAAAAGTGCATGAGTTAGTATACTCAGTAGATTATGAAGCTGCTTTCAAAGCAATATGCCTAAAGTATCTAATTATCTGTGCACTCAGATCTAAAAATGTGTAAATTCAGTAAAAATTGAAATAGATTCGCTTCATAATGGTGAGTTATCATTGAGATCTTACTGTGTTTGCAGTATTCACTGAAAATGACTTTTCCTAAGTGTTTGAACTTTATTAGTAACTGAAATCCAACTAGGTCTTGAATAACTGCTGGCAGCAAGCACCTGGTTAGGATTTTGTCTGTTTTTTTCCCTCCCTGCTTCCCTTCTCCAAAATACTAAAATCAGCCAGAATAGTCTAAACTTGATTGAACTGTAAGTAATGTGTTTAATAGGAAGAGGTAAAATAGATTATTTTAATAAGTGGACTAAGGGAGAATTAGATGTGGAAATCAAGTATTGGATGACCTTAAATATTTAAAATTGTGTGATGAGGCAAAAACTAGTGATAGATTATATTCTCCAGTGAGGACTTGCATTTTAGTGTCTTGTATGTGAGCTCTGTGGTTTTTGAGTTTTGTCAGTTTGGGGTTTTTTAAAGCTACATGGGAGTTGCCAGTCTTGGTTCACTGCGTATTATCATAGCTGCTGGATATACACGTTATAGAGCTGAATCATGTGTTTAGCTGGTGGAAGACAGTTTTTAACCTAGGTTTTTTAGGGAAATAATTCTTTGACACTACTAGTTCCTGATAAAATTTGTTTTATCTATTATTTTGTTTAGAGATACTAGCTTGTTATTGACATCTGAGATTGCACTATATAATGTGAAGATTGCAATAGTTGGTTTTACTGTGGTTTTTTTATATGCAGTAGAAATTTGACATTTCAGCTTTTTTCAATGATCTTACACACTACATCAGTCCACTTCAGTAGATCCTCAGCTAATCTCCTGCTTGCCCTTAGCCACTGTGTTCTTTTCCTGCCTCTTGCCTTCTCCCTCTAGGGTAAGGACCTGGTCTTTGAAGTGATTCTGCTATGTACTACATGTCAGGGAAGTGTAATTGTTTTTTAAATATGGTTACTGTGTGCAGCTCATTGTACACTGTAATTAAATGTATTTTTAGTTGAACTCTGAATCTTTGCAGCACACCTAATTCACTTTGGGTTTTTTTGTTTGGTTTAGTTTTAAGAAAACCTTTGATTGAAGCAGTTAAAAATTACTGCTAGAGAGTTTTTTGTTAGAATTTAGTATTCCTGCCCATGTGCCAGCCATAGCAAGGGTGCATCTTTACGCTTTCTTTAGCCAGTAAAGAAGTTCAACTTTTTAATACTAAATGTTTTAAATAATGATCAGTTTGACACTATACAGTTATGTGCATGTTGTGGGGGGGGGGGGGTTTGTTTGGGTTTCTTTTCCTAATCCTGCCCTAGGTAGATGAGAATAGAAGGTGGAAAACTTAATCTGGAGGACGATGAGAGCTGGTTAAGTGATTATGCAACGGCCTTTATGATGAGCTGCTTTAGAGTTCAGCCCAAACCAGACATTCTAAGTTATTTTACTTGAAAATATTCTGTGGGGGTGTACAAACCCCTGACCAACCAGCAGAGTCGTGTCCTGAGCATGTTTCCCCTTCACCTTTCCCCAAAAAGAGAATCGTATGAAGTCTTGCGCTGCCGGCTGCCTCTCCAGGCCTGTTTTCCTGACAGAGCAATGAGAAGCATCTGATCTTTTCCTAAAATCTATCAAGTTTACTCCTGCATAGTTGCCTCCATTACTTTTAATGAATGTTCAGAGCCAGCATAAAATGTGGGCATTAATTGGTGTTATTCCTTTAAGTGTCTCTGGTCATTAAATAATTGAAAGTGTCCATTCAAATTGTTGTTGGCCTTCAGAAAGCCCAAAAGCAATGCAGCTGCTTGCAGTTAACTCACAAGCTATTAAACAGTTAATTAATACAACAGGTAATTATTTTTTAAATGTTTATGTCGCAAGGTCATGAGATTTTGATCTTTTAAAACACTCCTATCAAAGGTTAAACTAATCAAGGTCATATAATTGCTCTATTGCTCAGATAAACTGATAAAGGAAACTCTTGATTTACAGTGTCTGTGTATTCAGTGAGAACCACCTTCAGATGCTAAAATGAACTAAGTTTACCATATCTGTTTTGTAATTTGCTTTATAAATAAAGATTGATGCTTTAGTTTGGTGGTGTCTGAATCATTTCATGGTGTCTTTAACAAAGATCTATATTCTAACATCAGAATGTGCAAAAGGCAGTTCCTATGGGACTAGAAAGTGATTGCAAGGTAAAAAAAAGGAGGTGAGTAGAAAGAGAATTCCTGCTACTGGAGAAAAATCACCATGTTAGAAACAGATACTTTCTTGTTTTATGGAAGCAGAACAGAGGGCTCCACAGCAGTATTCAAGTGTGTTCATCACTTGAGGTTTTCTTGCTTTCAGTAATAAGCCCCTTCAAAAAGTTCTTCTGTCCTTTTAAAATGCTGAAGTAGTTAAGTGGTGATTTAACAGTTCTATCTGTTGTTACTTGCTCAGCATGAGCTACTATAATGAAACTGCTCAAATTATGTTGTTCCATTAATTTTTGTCTAAACTGAAAATAATTTGAAGACCTCCTATTGTCCTGAAAATTCAAGCTGAAAAGAACATCTAGTGGTTTGGCTTTTAACTATCCTGCCAACACATCCCCATGGAGAAATCTGTGATACAGTAATTTTGCAATTGAAAGAAGGACATCTGAAGAAGTGCTGAACTAGGATTTCAGAGATAATTTTAATGCAAAATGCTATATAGAACCGGAGCTGTAAGAGGAGCAGGTACAAGGCAAGAGGAAGGAAGAGGCTAGGCCTCTATGTGACCAGGAGAAACAGAAGCAGCTTTATTTGCCTTTTGGTCAGTGGGTGGTAAATAAACTCCCAGCTGGCCCACCCAAGTATGAAGATGAGGCACTTGCCACGTTAGTAATATGAAGCACTATGTCTGGTAAAAGGTGTGTTGGCTCAAAAGGCAACTGGACAAACTGATCAAGAAAATTTAATAGTCTTAACTAACAGAGACCTCGCTTCCTTTTCAGAGTTACTGAGCTGCAAATTGTCTAAAGCCATAATATTCCAGTGCAGTATCTGTCTTTGCAGTATCCTGTCCTTGCTTTTGTTCCTCAGCAGCCACTAATGGCTCACGTTCTGGCCCTAGGGCTGCGCACACAACTCTGGTCTGGCTCACAACAGCCATTCTGTTACCTCCTGCTCTAACTAAGGGGAGAACTGTTGCCCTTCCTACCAGGTTCTATTTAAAAAAGGCAACTTTCTTAGGATCCTTAGCATTTGCTTTCATCTTGCTATTGTTTTCTAAAGTCTTACCTGGAATTCCAGTAAATCACTCTTGCTTTTTTTCATTCATTCATACGTCCTTCTAGAGGTGACTAACTCATTTTATGTTACTGTTCTCCAGATCTTTAACGTGCAAAAGGTTGGCTATTTCACCAAGGACAGTGATCTTCCAATGCCCTCCATGGCACTTCCCCTGCTGAGAAAGGATATAGGCCAGCCATATTAGCCCTCCCTCTCTCCCAAGAACACCTCCCATGTGGAGCTGTCTTCACCCACCAGGAACTGTACCCAACTTCTCTCACCTCCAGTTCTATGAAACTAGATCATCCCATTACTCACAAGTAGCTTGAATGACTTAAGTTACTGATTTGTGTCCTAGAAAGCTTTACTATAGTAGTTAACACAAAGAATTATGGATTCTAGGATAATTTAATGTTTGTGCAGGGAACAAAGGAAACAGAAGTTGACTACTCTTATCCCGTTTGTGTCTATAGGTGCTGGCTTTACTGTATGAAGACCTCAAAAAAAAAACTGAGGTGGGAAAGGGAAGTTCCTTCTCCTTGCCCCATATGTATTTAAAACAAAATATAGTTGCCACATAGGTTAACTAGTTTTACCTAATTAACACCTCACATTTTCATTCCTCACTAGAATAATATTCAACAAGTTCAAAACTTTTTTTTTAATTGTATGAAATGGTAGCTGACATGCTTCATTTTCAGTGAAGGAAGGAAAACTACTGCCAAAACCTCGCTGCTGAGAGCAGCACTGCAAATAGTCATGGTCTAGTATGACAGAACAGGAACTCACACGCTTGTAGCTGAGCTTTTCCTAATAGTTAAGAATATCACAGTTGGTGCATGAACAAAAATGTTCTACCACACCAGAGGTGAACAGAGCTGACCAGGGAGTTACTACAGCAAACACATTTCAGGACAACACTACAGAGGTACTGCAGCTCCAGGGAGTAGTAAAAGCAGACATGATCTAATAAGAAACCTTCACATAACAGCTAGAGATGTTTAAAACTGAAAAATGCCTTCACATTTTACTGTGATTTACCTTTATAGCAGCTTTTTTCTCCACAAGCCCTGGTTCAGAGCTGTACAGCTTTATTCCATTAAGTGAGGTTAGCATAATGTTATTAACAGAAATGCAAGCAACAGAATATGATGATTATTTCCAAGGCTCAAAAGTTTTAATAGCAGAAAGAATCATCTCCAGTGATAATGCAGTTTTTATTTATGTTAACAGCTTTTTACAATGTATACTCAATAATGCTAGAAGCAGTTTAGG